TGATGAACTTCCAATTTCCGCAATGCGGCAATTGCTAGTATCATCCTAATGGAATTTATTCTCGTCACAGGAGAATACGTGTCAAATTAATCATGGCCCTCACGTTGCTTGTATCCCTTGATTACAAGTCTGGCCTTGTACTTATCGATGGAACCGTCAGGTTTCATTTTCCGTTTAAAAATCCACTTGGATCCCAAAGGTTTATTTCCCGGAGGAAGATCAACCAATTCCCATGTGTGATTTTTAAGGATAGAATCCACCTCACTTTTGATGGCTTCTTTCCGCATAGGACCTTCAATAGACGTCACGGCTTCCGTATAAGTCCGTGGCTCATTTTCTACCAAACATGTTAGAAAATCCGGTTCATTTTCTACCATACATGTTAGAATATCCGAGTCAACTTCTACCAGGTAGGTGAGAAAATCCGATCCGAAGGATTTTTCAATTCTAGCACGTTTGCTACGTCTGGGTTCGGGTTCTTCTCCGGATCCCTCGCTAGTATTTTCCATAGCTACGTCAAATGTTCGTTTTGACGTGCTAGGCACTTCGTTGGACTTGCATGGAAATACATCTTCAAAGAATGAAGCATTCCTTGATTCAATTATAGTGTTTTCATGTACATCCGGATTATTCGAAACGTACACTAAAAACCGATAAGCACTACTATTTTGTGCATATCCAATAAAAATACAATCCACCGTTTTTGGACCTATTTTTATTTTCTTAGGTGTTGGTACAAGCACTTTTGCCAAACACCCCCACACTTTTAAATATTGATAGGAAGGCCGTCTGCCTTTCCACAACTCGTACGGAGTTTTATCATATTTTTTTCGGGGAACCTTATTTAAAAGGTAATTGGTAGACAAGACTGCTTCGCCCCACATATTTTGTGGCAAGCCCGAACTTACTAGCATCGCGTTCATCATATCTTTCAATGTGCGATTCTTTCGTTCGACAACACCATTTGATTGAGGTGAATAGGGTGCGGTACGTTCATGTACTATACCCACGCTCTCGCAAAAGTCACCAATTGATGCTTCATACTCACCACCTCGATCACTTCTAACCATTTTAATCCGTCGATTAAGTTGGTTTTCCACTTCATTCTTATAAAGAATGAATTTATCGATTGCTTCGTGTTTATTTTTTAATAAATAAACATAGCTATAGCGAGTGCTATCATCGATAAAAGTAATAAAATATTTATTACCGTCACGTGTTTGTATTGATTTAAAATCACAAACGTCACTATGAATTAATTCAAGTGGCTCCGTTTTTCTTTCAACCGATTTGAAAGACGTTTTCGCTAGTTTTGCCTCTACACAAACTCCACATTTGTGATTCACATCAATTGTGAATTTAGGAATGTGTTCCATGTTAATTAATCTACGTATAGAATTAAAATTAACATGTCCTACTCTACCATGCCACACATTGGAAGACTCAAGCAAGTAAGCAGAAGAGATTTTATTATTATTATTAATAATAGTCATTACATTGAGCTTAAACAGCCCATCAACTACATACCCCTTCCCCACATACATTCCCGATTTGGATAGAACTAGTTTGTTCGACTCAAAGACCATGCGGAACCCATGCTTGTTCAATAAAGAGCCCGAGATCAAGTTTTTGCGTATCTTCGGGACGTACAACACATTGTTGAGAGTCAGCTCCTTGTCCGAAGTCATCTTCAGGACCACCTTGCCCATGCCTTCAACCTCGGAATGAGCAGAATTCCCCATCCACACCGTCTCACCGTTTGATGGCTCATGAATAGCTCCCGGTTAGAGCAAATGTGCCGGGTTGCACCGGTGTCCACGAACCACTCCTTGGAATTGGATCCAACGAGGTTGACTTCGGTAACCACAGCCGCTAGGATGATGTCTTCATCCTTTTGCCCACCTTGCACCAAGTTGACTTGGGAGTCTTTCTTCTTCCGTGGTGCCTTGCAATCCGAGGACTTGTGTCCATTCTTGTTGCAATTGAAGCATTTTCCATTAAATTTGGGTTTGGAAACGCCTCCCTTGGGACCGAGCTTGCTCTTCCCATTATTTTTATTTTTGGAGCCTTTTGCATGCTTCACCACATTGGCCTTGGCGCCGCTAACGATTGGGAGTCTCCCATCGTTCTTCCGATTATCCTCTTCAATCCGCAGACGGAGGATCAACTATTCCAAGTTCATTTCCTTTCGCTTATGCTTAAGGTAGTTCTTGAAATCCTTCCAAGCCGGCGGCAATAAATGGATAATTGACGCAACTTGGAAAGACTCGCTAACCGTCATTTCTTCATCTCGAATTTCGTTGAAGATCATTTTCATTTCTTCAACTTGACTCAAGACCGTCTTCGAATCCACCATTTTAAAATCAAGGAATCGGCCGACAACAAATTTCTTTGCACCGGCATCCTTGCTCTTATATTTGTGGTCCAAAGCATTCCATAGCTCCTTAACCGTAGCTAATTTACTATACACGTCGTACAGAGCATATGCAGCCCGTTCAACACGTAGTTTCGGCAAAGGAAGTCAGAATGCTTCCAAGCCTCAACCGCGTTGAAAGATTGCGCATCCACCTCACCCCCGGTTACTACCGGCGCATCCTCGGTCAAGAAACGTGCAAGACCGAGAGTAGTGAAATAGAAGAGCATCTTTTGCTGCCACCTCTTGAAGTTTAACCCATTGAATTTCTCGGACAGTTGGGCGTGTGATCATTGCACATATATGAACCCCAGGTCTGCTTCAACTGCCTGTCAAATGAGCCAACAACGTAGATGATGATAATATGGTCTCTTTTGCTCTTTCTTCTCCCACATGTATCATTTTGGAGCCCTTTCCTTGAACAACAAACCCACCATGCATGGGGCTATTGGGACAAAGTAGTATGTTCTCCACCAATAAGGGTGAGGGGAGCTGTCTGCATAATGCTTTGGAAAAGCAAATGCAGTAGTAGCCTCATGGATTATGTTGCAGGGGCATCTTAATGGTTTTTTATTGGTGTAAATAGAACGCAAGTATCTATGAAGTGTTTTATTTTGGGTGTTTTGGTTTATTATTTGGCGGGTGGGAGTGTATTTATTGAATTATCCTTGTTAGTCTGATATTCTCTAAACCATTGTTTGTCGCTTTCTGCAATGCGCAGTCTCATTGAAAGTTCATAACTCTTTCCCCACAATTGTCTTGTACTCTAGAGGCTAGAGCTCGAAAGTACACTTGACATATTGATATCTCGTGAGGCAAGTGATTTTCACCTTGCAGAATTAGGCATTTATACAATTACTAGTTATTGTAACGCGCGTTGCGCGATAAGAAAATGCCCAATGTATTTATGTAGGATGAACGTTAAGAGATACGTGTGTGTATCTGTTGAATTGTTTTGTATACATGTTTTGCGATAAATTGCATACACTGATTAAATAAATTTACATATGTAGGCTATTATCTTAGAGACGCCAAACTATGTATAACCATTTGGGGGATATTTTGACATCCAGAGGGTAGATCAATTGAAATCATAATGTTGTCCGGATTTAAAAGCATATAAGCATTCAATTTAATAACTAAAATAGGCTACAAAATATCAATACTTTGGTGTTCGGGTGCCCCTTGTCTTCCTCTTTGTCCATGTCAAGTTTCCTCCAAACACCTCCATGTTGGTCACTACAATACATTAATTTTTGTAATTTTTTCAGGCTATGTATTTCTTTTGTACAGAAGTCTGCACTTTTACTGTTGGATCAGTCTTTTTAAGAAACAAGCTAGTATAAGAAAAAAGGATTTGAACTCTAGATAAGAAATATAGAGTTGAACATTGTTTAAGGTAACATAGGCTACACTTATTTGAGAGAAGCAATAGGTGAGAATAGGGTGTAAAAGTCTGCCTCTTTAACTATAGAGTTCACAAATTTTAATTAATTTGATAAATCATAAACTTGAAAAAAAAATCCAGGTAACAAGAAAAATTGTCCCCAAAAATATGCTTTTCAAGGTGATATCTTCTACTGACGGGAATTTGGAAATCCCATCCTTTTCTCTACACTTAGCAAAGGGATGACACACTTCCCTTCCACTTCCTCGTTAGAGGACACTTTATCTTCCATAGTCAAAACCAAGCCTTCATCAAATGGTTTTGCCACAACAAACATCAAATCCTTAAGATGAACCTGGGCTGTCATATTGTACTTTTCTGTATGGCGTTATATTTAAACTTAAAAGGATCTAAAAGATGTGAAGACCTGCTAGAAGAATATCTCTTGAAACATATTGAGAAAGTCATCAAGTTGGTAGAATTGGTAAAAGTTAATAAGTTAAACTATGCATAGAAGGGGAGTCAAAAATTAGGATTGAGCTCCACAAAGCCTATGCTAAGCTCAACCATTAACCTACTGTTGTGGAAAGTATTAAAACAAAAAGGAATAGGAAATGGCTCCTTTTTTATGATGTTCGAAACACATTCTTCTTCCATGCCAGTGTTTGTTATCTTAAGAAAACTTTCAGGAAGGAATCTTATCCCATAAATTTGAACATTCTAAATTTTACTCCTTTATCATTACCAAAGAAGACCATAAAATTCTTTCAAGAGAATTCGAAGGAGCAAAATTGAAGGTTAGTCAAATTGTAAACTAAATACACGCCCTCAGCTTAAATACATAAAATCATTATACCCTGAAATTAACCTATATGGGGCATCATAATCTGAACTTCAAAAGCAGTTAGGGAAAAGGATCAAATGATAAGAATTGTAAAAATATCCAAGTACTTAAGCCTCCCACATTAGGATACCTAAAATAAAAGGTCTGCAAACTGTTATATTACCATGTTCATGGCTGTCAAGTATCAAATTCCACCAACTGCAATGCTACAAGACTTCATACAAGCATGGCATACTGGGGAGAACAGTTTGCACATACAAATTCCTGAATCTTTCCCTAATCCTCTCCCCCTAATACTACGTAGTAGTATATATCATTAGCCATTGCGTACTCCATAAGACACGATCACAGGGTAAAATAAGATAGAATTCCACACGGCTGGTGTTTCCCCACAAGCAAGAGATTGTATTGAATCTAATTCAACTTCAACACACATCACAATTGAAACAACCATGTCTGTTCTACTTCTAATTATAAAGTACAAGTATAAATAGATAGCAACATTATGCTTTAGGAATTTTTCAATAAGGAGCTTCAGCATGAATATCCATGGAAGTATCACTACAGTTATAACCATTAATATTGTTGTTACAATTATGAGAGTCCCGATTTTGCTGTTGGAAATTGGGTTCATCATTCTTTATTCCATTTGCAGGAGGGCTATCCTTTGAGTAGTAGTCTCCCTGAGCAAGGTGATAGTTCTGAAGGCTTCGCCGAACCGGACTTGACAGGGCATTTGAGAAAACATAATTCTTTGATTGTTGATCATAATGATCTGTACGAATCCCCTGACCAGCAGATGGCAAACCAGTTGAACCTGAAGATGCCAGGAAACACAAGTTTGGCTGTGAATGTGGTGGTGGCCTTGGTGAAATGGGCTGCTCCTCAGCATAGTTTAATTCTGTCTGTTAGTGAAAAAACATAATACATTTAGAAAATTTAACAGACCCACACACACCAAAAAAGAATAAATAAAGAACTTTCTAGCAAAAGTATGAACTTTTTTGTTCATCATCATCATCAACCACTTCCTCACATTCTAACAGAGATCCTATATTCCTACTAGGGAAAACTATCAAATGAGTCCTACTATATTCAAAAAGTCAATTAAGTCCTCATACTAATAAATCATTCAATCAAATCCCCCAACTATTAAAAAAGATTCAATTATGCTTTTTATCCGGTTGAACATAATTTTCTCCGCTAATCAGTGATCTGGACGCCACATCTGCTAATTTTTTCTTTTTCCTTTTTTCCTAATTCCTCCTTTGTTTCTTCTCCCTGGTCTATGGCTCTATCCGTCGTTCGTCTCTTTCTCTCGTTCTTTCTTTTATTTCTTTCTTCTTTCTTTCTTTTCCTTGTTTCCTGCTCTACCTGACGCCGATGGTCAGGCCAAAGGGAGAACATGGATTGGTTTCGAGAGGTTAACTGGGCTGGCGATAGTTGAATTAAACTTTCCGCCGCTGGAGGGGACCGAAGAGTGAAGGGAAAGGTTTTCAAGCTGGAAACAGCAACACTACGGTATGCTTCAAGCTTCAATTCGGACTGATGATTTATTCGGAGTATATATTTGTCCAACAAGTAGGGTATATATGTATGTATGTATAAGTTGACCGGCAAATAGTATGTACATATGTGTTGACCGGCGAGTAGTATATACACAGAAAAGATCCTGTCCAGCCAGAGGGACAGGATCCTCCGTCCGGCTGCCGCCGTTTGGGGCGGTTCCCGGTGGATTTTTTTGATGATTTTTTTTGAGCATGTTCCTTAACAAGTCTAGTTTATCCACAAACCATTTCAGCTAAAAATTCAATTGGGAAGACAATAAAATAATTTTTTGAATATAACTGCGTTTTATATGTACGCAGTTATAAAATTTCAGCTAAAAATTCTATCAATGCCTGGTCACGCACCACGCACTACACTTGAGTCGCCCACGTGACACCTTGAGCCAATTTCCTTTGCCGTGCTTATAAATTATTTTTAAGCAGTTGAAAGTTGAAGCCTATGTTCAAAAACCGGACTGGAGTGGTCGGGTTGAGCTGGTCCAAAAACTGGGCAGGTCAATTAAATAACAGGAAATGGGCAAAACCCAGAAAAGACCTGGCCTGGACCACTAAAATCAAGGCAATTCAGGCAAACCAAGTTTCATATGGTCTTTTTATTTTTATTTAGGACTCTTTAATCTAAGAAAGTTGCAATCCCAACTTCATAATATAAAAATATTACTCCCTCCGTTCCTATTATAATTTCCAAATAGGTTTGGCACACAGTTTAAGTTAGTGGGTATTGTGTGGTGAAGAGTTGTGCAGAGGAGAGAGAAATATGTAAGAAATGTTGTGAACCACAAATTCTTTACCAAAAAGGGAAAGTGGAAGTTTTAATTGGAACGAACGAAAAAGGAAAGTTGGAAGTTATAATAGGAACGGAGGGAGTATATGATACATTGATACATTTCATTCTAGAAACAAAATAATGTCACAATTATTTTGAAGATTTACAAACCAAATAACCAAATAATATTATTGATAAGAAGGAACTAGAATTATGTTTTAGAATATCATGGTGTTTTTTCAATACTTATATGTATATTATTATAAAATTTTACTTAAGTTGACTGGGTGATCCAGAGTTGAACCGCCATGACCCGTTAACTTGGCCAGGTTGCTTCTTGGTCCGGTTTTTAAAACATAGGTTGAAACAAAAACATGCTCTTGAAAATAATGTAAACAAGAAATTCATGTTTCAAAATATTTCAATTACTTGTTTATGTTTTAAAAGTGAAAATACCATTGGAAACTGAATATAAAGATGTCGGCAAACAACACCTAAATATCGCATGACTCATATCAAAAACAGCATAGCAATATATATGAAGTCTATATAATATAATAAAGCAAACCCCTAAAGAACCATTTAGACGAATTGTTGACATGTGGCAACATCCTTTGTATGAAAAATGACATGTGGCAACACAATAAATTAAATAAAAAACTATTCAACTTCCAAAACTCTACTCTTATTTACTCCAATATTTAACTATGTATATACTCCCTCCGAACCGAAAAGGTTGGCCAAAATTGACTTTCATGTGGATTAATAAAGTAAAAACTGTGTGGTTGAAATTTGTGCAGAGGAGAGAGAATTAATTTTAGCCACATATTCCTTACTTTAAATGGAAATGCTAAATCTTTTTGGGACTAAAATTTGGCCAACCTTTTCGGGACGGAGGGAGTATGTATTTATATTTAGGGGGTGAATCCATTACTAATTGTGCTTATTGTGCTAACTTTGTGCAATGCATCTTTATGCTATTTTTATTGGATATTATTGTGCCATGAAATACATAGTTGCAGTAAGAGCGCAGGGGAAGGGGGGAAGTCCGTGACTTCTCTCTGGGATTAATTCTTCTAATGATCGATCATTTTATTAAGGCTGAAAAAAGGAATATAAACAGGCATCCTGCCTTTACATGATAGAGTTCTGATCTAACAGAAACTATAACATCTAATACTTCTATTTCTAATAGGAGTTCTAATCTAATACAAACTGTAACCTCTAATACTTCTATTCCTAATAGGAAGTAATAAATAACATATAAAAATAGCATCAGGATAATTTCCCTCTTTTAATTAAACTTCCCACAGGTTCCATAAAAATGCACCCGTAACATCACTTCCTCCCTCGAAACTGAGCTTGTCCCCAAGCTCATATCCTGGATAAGCAATGATAAAAGTGTCAAACGATTCTCAAGTGGCCTTGTCTGGTGTGTTGTCTTGCCATTGAACTAATAGTCCCACTTATAGCGTTGGCAGACAACTCCAAGTCTGGGAAGCCATCATCTTCTTCCTGCTCATCTTCTATCTCGATCAAGAAAAGTTTTTTGCATCGGTGATTCATCGTCCACTGTTCATCACAATTATAACATAGCCCTTTTGCTCGTCTTTCTGTCATTTCATCCTTAGTGAGTCGCTTAACAATGGGATTTCCTGTCTTTGTTGTCACAAGCGCTTGTCTAAGCTGTGACGGGCTGCGTTGTTTCATATCTGTCGTAGTACCCGAGACTTTTACAGGTGAAAGCGTCAGTGTTTGCCTTGCTTCCAATGTCCGTGCAAGGTTCATTGCGTAACCCAATTTGCCTGGTTTTGCTATCTCCACATCAGCCCGTAAGTGGGGATGGAGACCGGCGACAAAGAAAGCAATCTGATGGGTGGACTGTATTTGTGAAGTTCTTGCTAAGGCTTTCTGAAATTGGGCACAATATTCATTAACTGATCTGATCTGCATCAGAAGTTTTAGATCTCGAATCGGGTTAGAACTCAAAGGGGGCCCAAAGCGCTCCAGACAGAGTTCTTTAAACCTCTCCCAGTTGAATTCTCCTTCTTCCTCTATCATCTGATCGAACCACAGTTGTGCATCATCTATCAAGTGGAATGAGACCATATTCATCTTTGCAACACTAGGAGTTTCTTGGTTCAAGAAGAATTTTCCGCACCTTTTCAAGCAACTGGTAGGGTCGTAGGTGCCATGAAACACATGAAATTCCATCTTCGCATACTGTGGTTTCCAGGGGTTTGAGGTGTTGTGTGATATCAGGCCGTTATCAGGTTGCTCTTCATGTGTTTCTGTTGATTTGGAATCTCGTTTGTGGACTGCCAGAGATAAAGCGGCAATCTGCCCTTCTATGGCGGTTACCCTAGCAGTCATAGCCTCCATAAACTCCTTCATCATGGTGGTTAAATCATCATTCTGTGGCGCCATTGATCGTGAAGTCTCGGATACCAAATTGTTGGGGTTCTGGGACTGGGAACGGGTCCAGGGATGACTTGGGGTAGCAAGGTACCGGGTTGAGGTGGTAACCTGCCTGCTAGGGTTACTCCTCTTCTTGCCCGTGGCTAGAAGAGCGCAGTAAGAGCGCAGGGGAAGGGGGGAAGTCCGTGACTTCTCTCTGGGATTAATTATTCTAATGATTGATAGCCGTTATATTTACTTGTGTTTAACATAAGTATTTATAAGTATTTATTGAAGAAAAGAAGAGAAATTGGGAAAACAACTTCAAAATGAGAGCTAAAGCATAAAACATTGTGATGAACGGCTTTTGGGACCAAAAGGATGACGTTTTGCCCATAATTTGAGTATAACGTATTTTATAGAACTCGAAATCACTCGATTTGAGATTCATGTGAATGCTAACTCAATAAGGAACAAATGTTATGAAGACGTCATGGCCAAAATATGAAAGGAACAATACTCAATCAACAAACAAAGTCAGATGTTGCTGGTGGGATTTAAGGATGCATACCTCTCAGTGTTTTAGCCATAACGTTTGATTGGATGAATAAAATCACGTTATTCAAGTTTTGGTGGATAGAAGACTTCATTATCTACAACTTTAGTGAAGGAATCATGTCAAAATTCATAGCGGAACATTCCAAAAATCCAGGTACAAAACCCGACACTTTTTGACCCATTCCGGAGGAAGAAAGCCAAAGTACAATTTTTGGCCCTGCAACCGGCGCCGGTAAGCCTAGAACCGGCGCCGGTTAGAAGGTCTTTTTACGCACTAAAAGAGCCTGTTTTCGACCGGGGCCGGTCATATGACCAACCGGCGCCGGTTGGGTCGATTTTCAGCTAAAACACAGCAACGTGCAAGCTTATTCTTGATGGGAAAACTCCATCTTCCTCATTGTTGATCAAATATTTCTTCCATACCTGATTGTTGGGCTTGAATAGACTAAAATATGTCATTCTTTAGCCTATATAAATCCCTCAATTCATCATACAAACATATTCCATTCCATAGATTAATTCTTAGCTTTTATATTTTTGTTCTTGGTATTTTCTTCAAGTTCTTGAGGAGGGAAGTTCATCCTCCGAAATCATTGGTGTTTAGGTATTATTTCCTTTGTAATTTCATGTTCCATTACATTTATTATTGTATTGTGATTAATATGAGCATTAGAGGCTAATTTCTTAGCTAAGGCTAGGGATGAACTTCTATGCCCACTAGGTGTTTGATAAAAGTTCTAAACCAATAAATTGTGATTTATCCTTTATATATTGATTGTTTATGACTATGGTGTACAACATAGAAGTATGTTAAATTTAGTTTATACTTGCAATTAACGTTGAAGTTTAAACTATGAACACTAAAGGATAAACATATATAGTACCGAGAATAGAAATATATCCGGTCTTATATGATACGGGTGTGATGTCTTGATATTCAACGGGGTTTTCGGTAGATGAATGTAAGCCGTAACGGGACTTACACGTAACGAAAACCACGCTCTCGCTGCCTTAACCGGAGTTGAGAATATATTAGCGACATCGTATACATAATTATTGGCAAAGAACTAATATTCAACCCTATTTAAGCATTTAAGTGAATCCCGAAGCCTTAGTTGTTGTTATCATTTATCTTGAACTCAAAGTTAGTTAACAATTATCTTGTTGAACAAAAAGTGAAAAAACCAAAAATATAAAACACAAATCAAAATCCCTGCACTTTATTCAATTCTTCATTTAAAGTTATCTACTCTCGGACTTGAATTAAACAACGTTTCCTTGTGGATTCGACCCGGTATTTTACCGGAATTTATTACTATATCGGCACTTGTACACTTGCAAGTTCAAACCGATCAATGATCGATCATTTTATTAAGGCTGAAAAAAGGAATATAAATAGACATCCTGCCTTTACATGATAGAGTTCTAATCTAACAGAAACTATAACATCTAATACTTCTATTTCTAATAGGAGATCTAATCTAATAGAAACTGTAACCTCTAATACTTCTATTCCTAATAGGAAGTAATAAATAAAATATAAAAATAGCATCAGGATAATTTCCCTCTTCTAATTAAACTTCCCATTGGTTCCATAAAAATGCACCCGTAACAAGATGGAACTCAAAATAGAGCAGTGTCTCTATCAACTCATGCATGTAAAGTTCTCCATGCATGAAATACTTGTAAGTTTGACTCAGACAGTAGCTCTACGTAAGCTAATCAGCTGACATAATAGAGTAAATATTTACAATTCTCATGTAAAAATGTTTTAAAAAACGGCTTTAGAGTTTACAACCAAAAAATCCTATCAATGTCTGTATCATAAATGCATGTTAACCAAGATATGCAGTTGTTTCAGACCCCAAATTCATTTTCTCTGTCAAGAATCCAGGTAGAACTTATTACCACTTAGAAAAATCAATAGTACCAGAAGTTGCACAAATTATCACCATGGCAGTGCCTTACTGTTCAAAAAAATTGAGTTAAATGTCAGGAAGTAAGCTTAAAATCAATTATGCGCAAGCATGTGACAGCCCTCAACAATGCATTAACCCACTGCACAATATTCTCTTAACAACCATGGGAAAATAAAGACTTAGAGTGTACGAAGAAATAAAATCATCTTATTAAAAAGTGACAGAGTTTGTAAAAGAGGAACCTGCAGGTAATTCAGTATGTCAAGTGTGGTTACTCTAGATCCTCCCTCTTGAAGCCTCAATATCCACTGGTATAACTTATCCTGTTGTATTTAGAGAGAGAGATAGTTTTGGATTTAGTTAGTCCAAATATGTAGTAAAACATAAATCTTTCAAGTTTCATGGTCATTTGTTAATCTTTTAAAGGTAGCCAATAAAATGGATAATTCCAATTGTTTATAAAATACAAGTTAAAGAAACTTTTTTAAACAAAATATGCATACAAATAAAATACAGAATGTGGGACAAATATCATCACTCAAGCACATTAGACCATGTTTATAGCTTATAGAGTGTTCCATATTGATATATCTAATTCCCAAATGTGACTATGTGAGCAGGGGAGAAATTAAGCCCAGAACTGGAAATCTGGAATTCTATTACTGTGAATATAAGTTTTGTGTCATAATCTACACCCTTTCCATGGACTTAATTGTTTGAGTAGGCTAGTGGTGATCGCCTGATTGGTATTATTTCCACAATTTTAAGAGAGATAAATAGGATGAAATTTGGGGGGGGGGGGGGGGGGGAGTACTCCATGGTATGTACGAACTTACACGCAAGTGACAACCTCCAATTTTTTTAAACAGAAAAACATGTGAAATGAATGATGACTCATTCAGCTTATGGAAGCACCTAATGCAAACATACTTCATTACTTCCCTTCTTAGTAAGAGAAATAAAAACTTGGAAAGAGGGATTCTTTAACATTTACAAAATAACTCCACCCCACTTGTGGAACCCTAAAAAATCCAAACCCTAACGTGAATATTACAATATAACATTACAATTATTCCTAAGGGCTAGCATTCAAAATCTCTGAAGGATTGATGTCTACGACTACAGGAAAAGCCCAATAAACCAGACCTTCAAAATAGGAGCATCTGAACAACAAGTGAGCTCAATATTTGATTACCAGTCATCAATTTCACAAACAATACCGAGATTATAGCTGGAATACTAACCAGCCAAAACCAAAATTAATTAATTAGATTCAATGAAAGTCATACTTACAAGAAAAACATATCCAATTAATGATGAATACTATCCGCCTCTAAAAAAATTAAAAAACTATTCATTAGTTTCACCGATTCACATACGATTTTCTTTATGGGGGAGGGTAGGGAAGTTACCAGCCCTTCGCGTTCACCAGCTTGGAACGAGAGCTTCTGTTGATTCATCGATTGAGTGTAAAGCTGCGAAAGCGAGTTAGCAGCGCTGCAGAACGACGTATACATCGTCCGATCCACCTCATCCAGGCTCGTTGCAGACGACTTCCGCTTCTTCGCCATCTAGAGGGACGAGAGCTTTTCTGATTTCAAATAGAGAATCTCAGTTACGGAGTATAGTTTAGCTTGACGTTGGTAATAGCTGCGTAGTATAAATGTGAATGTCTGATCTCCCAGACAAACTTCTAAAAAAGGGCAAGTTGGAAGCTTTTCATAGGAGAATGTTTCTTATCACAATTTTTTAAATTCAATCTCAATATAAGATCTTATTTGAATCTTTCTGATTTGAATCTTTTTTATCTGATTTAAATCTTTCTAATGTCATCTAATTGGAATATTTCTAAAATTATAATTATAATTGTAATTATAAATATGATTTATATATATTTATAATTGTAATCATAATTATAAAAAAATTATAATTGTAATCATAATTATAAAAAATTATATTTATATTCATAATTATAATTGAAGTTAAAATTATAATATGAATAATTATTATTATACCTATTACACTAATTATAATTATAGTTATAATTAAAATTGTAATTACATTTTTAATTATATTTATGTCTAAATTTAAATTTAAATTATAATTATAATATTTATTTCTAGAGTTATGAACTTATAATTATAATACTCCTAATAATAATAATAATAACAACAACAACAACAACAACAATTATTATTATTATTATAACTATTACAATTATTATAAATATTGTAATAATAAGAAGGATGAATCATGTCTGAATTTTTCTGATCTGATCTGATTGTTTCTAATCTGAATGTTTTTGATCTGGTCTAATCTCGTTTGAATCGATCTGTTCTGATCTGATCTAAATTTATTGATCTGACTGTCTTGTGACATAATTAGATGTTGGCCCATGACACGCCTCGTGCAGGACGGGTCTGCCCCTCTCCATAATAACCTAATAGCTAGTACAAATTTCTAGTTCTGTGAAGTAATTATAGTTTGAGTTTACATAAAGTTTGTCTCCAAATAACAATAAAAAACAAATATTTTAAATCAAATTCACAAAACAATAAAAAGTTTCAAAAATTAAAAAAAAAATATAGACTTAAATAGTTAAATATTTATTTATGAACAAATGAATATATAAATGAGAAATATAAAAAACACAACAATTAACTTTTCATCTAGTTCAGAATATATTGAGAAATCAAGAAATTCATGAATTATCTATTGGACGGATCGATACGAGACGACATGAGTCAATACTAATACCCGGACCCGCTCCAGAGTATGCATGGGACATGACAAACTCGCCCTACTGTGTTCACGAGGCGGGACAGACCTACCCCATTTACAAGACGGGGCGGGCCAGACCCGCCCCAAATGTCTCTCGCACACCGTTTTTTTTGGCATACGGTATACGGTGAGCACCGTATACCGGTATACAGACTTCTTTATTTTTTATTCCTTTTGTTTTTAAAAAATGGTGATATCTTTTTTTATTTTTGATCCGATTTTTATAAAATTTATATCAACATTTTTTATTTTTCATGATCTTTCAAATGAGACCAATATTGCTTATGTAATTTTAAGAAATTATCGAATTATTATGTTAATGAGTATTGGATTATAAGGAAAATCGAACTAAATTGAATACAGAAAAATAATTGTGTAAATCACCATTTATCTTAAAATTATGCGTATAAAAAATTATTTTATTATGTATTTATACATGCGAGTTACATGTTTTTATACGTAAAGTTACATATTTTTACACGTAAAGTTACATATTTATACACGCGAGTTTCATATTTATAAACACGAGTTGTATTTGACCTGTCTCAACGCGAGTTACATATTTTTACACGTAAAGTTACATATTTTTACACGTAGAGTTACATATTTATACACACGAGTTGCATTTGCCCTGACTGGACGTGAGTTACATATTTCTACACGTAAAATTACATATTTTACATAGGTTAATATAATAGTTCGATAATATGTTAAAATTACATAGGCAATATTGGTCTCATTTGAAAGATCATGAAAAATAAAAAAAATTGAAAAAACCAAATCACAAATGAAAAAGTTATTATAGTTTTTAACAATAAAAGAAATAAATAAATAATAGGCCCCACTATGGCTATGTTTGGCAAGCCATTTCAGCTCAAAATGAGCTGAAATATTTAAAATTCAGTCAACTTTTTTGAAAATAATCATGTTTGGCAGAAGGGCTTAAATGAGCCGAGTCTGGAATTGTAGAGCTGAATTGGAACGTTGGCTTTGCTAGCGTTTCAGTCCATCCTATTATATTGTTCCCAGATTACCCTCTTGCTCGTGTCTTTCTTTTCTCCGCCAATCATCTCGTTCTCCTAGAGGCCTTGGTCAAAGTATGTATCGTTAGTCCTATACTCCTATCTGGATGATGGTTGTCACGACTCTCCTGAATACCGCAGCATACAGAGTAATACGTCGCGGCGTGGCACATAAGTAGGCCGCGGCATAATCCGGATAGAGTACCAGCTGGAGTCTAGAGATGCCTAAGAGAGAGGAGCAGAATCTTGGAGGCTAAAAGAAAATTCTAGACTCATGTAGATAAGTGTACACTTGTATAGAATACTCTAGAATTAAATTGTAGCCGTTAGATCAAGTAGATCTAAGCCGTCCATTGAGGAGGAGGGCAAGTATAAATATCCCTCATGGCTGGTTCATTTGTATCATCGAAAGCTTGAGAGCAATAAAGCATTTGTACGAGTTTCTCCACAATCGATGTCATAGTTTCCGCAAGAGTTAGGTTGACTAGCATAGTTTAAGCGAGTGTTGCTAGCGCCGCACAGATTCAAGAATAAGTCCGTGACATGGTGCACTGGCAATGAGTCTGGTTCTCCCTCTAATTTGAAATGCCATGCATTCTTGTTTGAAAAAAATCTCAATGAAAATCATCCACAACCTTTCCTATAATCTACGGAGTATAAATTTAATTAAGTCATAATCTAACTACGTATGTATTGGGAGTATATGATAAAAAAACTCTTGTAACTCTCATAAATACATACACTAAAATGTTACTCCCTCCGTTCCTTAAAACTTTGTCATCTTTCCTTTTTGGGACGTCCTCAAAAACTTTGTCACTTTCCCTTTTAATCAATTATTTTGTGATTTTTGTTATTTCTCTCTCCTCTGCACAAACCTCAACCACACAGTTTTTACTTTATTATTCTCCGTGCCGGTCAACTTTGGCAAAGTTTTAAGGGACGGAGGTAGTAATATTTATTAAAATATAAATATCATTATAATAAATATTTTATTTTATTAATAAATTATATGTCCTTTAATGTAATTTCACATTAGTCGGGCACTTTTCCAGTTTTTTTTTTTCAAATGGGTCTACTTCATTCAGTTAGCGATTCAGTTCTAGCATTTCAATGTTCAACTTCATACGTGATTCAGTCGATAATCCTTAATTCAGACATTGGTCTCCAGTTCAACCACGTTGTGCCAAACATGGCCCAAGCTGAGCTTGCCTAAAAGAGTATGACTGTATAAGCCTATACGTCTGCATAACAAGTGTTTTTTTTTTTGACATGCCGCCTAGGTTCTGCACTGCTCAAGCTACAGGTGGATTATAAAAAAATGGAAAAGCCCTGTGACAAACTGACATTCCGCCAATCGTGCCGCTGTACTTGCCAAATCTGGATTCTTTTATTAACTTCACTTCGATCCTCACCATATTTTTCTTCAGAAGTGATTTCTGCGTTTCCGGTAAGCTTTTGATTTCATGCGCCTTTTCTGTTTTTGTTTGCTTACAATTCTCTAATTATTTTTCTTGGGATGGGATACTCGTGTTCTAGCTTAGTTTAGTTTGTAATGTTTAAATCATACAAATACGCTTAATTTCGCAATTTTTAAATTATCTTCTACCGACAATTACTTCTGTGATCGCTTCTTCGTTTGCATACAATTTTCTATTATCTCTTACCGAGAATTATTTCTATGATCGCTTCTTTGTAATGGGTGAATCCGTGTCTTCCTTCGGGCATTCATTTTTTCACAATTTTCAATAGAAAGACAGAGTGTTTCTGTAGTTTTATCAATTTTAATTTTTGTTACTAGTATTTCTTGAAATTTTATTCAACCTAATTGTGTACATTTATATGTCGCGATCATCTATTGTAGGTTGAAAATGAATGTTACTTATTTTGCACCAACATTTAATAATGTGAGCTTTTATGTTGGCCGGGGGAAGTTCCCATGTGTTCATCTTTGCTGTGTCCGTCTTTTTTATCTGAAAATCAAACATATCATTTATTAATGGACTATCTGCCTCCAAAACAGACACAAAAAATGTAGGTGGCTCTAGAAACCACTCTCTTTTTGTGTGTTGATGATAGTATTGGTTCTCTGACTCTCTGAGAGAGGAGTTTATACTAATTTAGTGATTCTTTTTTTAATTAAAATCTTAGGTGGAGTTGAATCCTGGTGTTGGTGGAATTCAAGATGAATGGACTTAAGGAAGGGAGTTTACCTGAGGATTTGATAAAACTACTATCATCCCTCGCTTCAAGCTGGGGAGATGTTTTCGACGTAAAAAGCTTGAAGGTTATCCACTTAAGTGGAGCGATGACTAATCTGGTCTACAGAATAAGCTGGCCTACAAAGACGGAAAATGTTTCCAGGAAGGTTTTGGTTCGGGTTTATGGTGAAGGAGTTGAACTTCTGTTTAGCAGGACTGATGAAATTCTGACTTTTGAATATGTCTCTAAGCAAGGCTTTGGGCCCCGCCTTCTTGGACAATTCCCTTGGGGACGCGTGGAAGAGTTTATCGATGTCAGGGTATGAGATCTATTACTCCTTATACCATTCTCTTTTAGTACTTACTGTTCATATATTCAACTCATGGTATCTCATATATGTGTTTATATATGTGTGTGCGCGCACACACATATAGAGAGATATAGATAGAGTTGATGCTACAAATAGATAGAGGGAGAGAGGCAATGCATTTCCTCACATCTATTGTAGCTTCTTAGGACAACTAGGGGTTGTTTGGTTCTGGTATTTTGGAGGGTGAAGAGGAGCATGGTTGGAAAGAAAGTGAAGATGAAAATTATATGTAATTAGATTATTTCACTAAACTCATACTTAATTATTTCTCATCTAATATTAGTAAATATAGATAAATTAGTAAAACAGAAACCAATCATCCCCTCCCCTCCCTTCAAAAATCCGTGAAAGCAATCAAAGTTTTTAGAATCCTCTTATATATATATCATCTCTTTTGGAACACCTTTTTCATGACTTTTGGATAAATCTTCCTCATTCATTTCTTCCAATTTATTATCTTCAGCCTCTCATTATTCAAAAGGTGTTTGAATAATTCCACTAGTGTTGGTATATTGGGATTTATGCTATTAATCTAGAACTAAAAGTTTTAGTTTTGAAACTTGTCGGCAATCCATACAAGTACTTTTTCCCCGCTGAATTGTGAAAAGACCTTTTAAGATTTCTTACTGTACACTCTTTCAAATTGCATTTCAGACACTTTCAGCCAGTGACCTCAGAGATCCAAATATCTCTTCTTTAATAGCAGTTAAATTGAGAGAGTTTCATAACATTGGGATGCCTTGTAAGAAGAATGTTGTTCTCTGGGATAGATTGAGGTAGCAAACAATCACCAGTTCATAGGCAGAAATCAATTTTGTTTCTTAAGAGTGTGTGTGCATATACTGACCAGTATCCACTGATCTACTTCCATAGGGATTGGCTAGGTAAGGCCAAGGGTTTATGCTCCCAAGAAGACAGAAATGAATTTAAGCTTGATGATTGTGAAAAGGAAATTCTCACATTAGAGAAGGAGCTATCAAGGAATTCTCCAGAGATAGGCTTCTGTCACAATGACCTGCAATATGGAAACATGATGTTTGATGACAGGACAAGATCCATTACCATAATTGTAAGTCTCAATGTTAAAGCATCCACTATATGCTTATATTCATTTCTCATGGCTTGGTGTTCCTAACAGGATTATGAGTATTCTAGTTACAATCCAATTGCCTATGACTTTGCAAACCACTTCTGTGAAATGGCAGCAGATTATCACACAGACACTCCACATGTTCTGGACTATACAAAGTATCCTGGTAAGTAGTTGGTGCATGTTTACAATTAGTAAATATATGCCTTAAGGAGTCATTATTGTTATTATTATTGTTATTATCCAACAATCATATTGATAGGAACCTATTAGTATAATAATAATAAAATAATGTTACATAGTTTGCTATTATGTTAAAGGGGGTCTAGGCCTGGTATTAATTTAGTTATGGGCCGGCCCGTAAACAAAGTATTATAAATAGTAGTTGGGAATAGAATAAAGAGGAGGCAGATTTTGGATTTGGGAAATTGGGATCTGGGAGAGTTGAGGCCTCTCGAAGCGCCTCGTCTGTATCTTTCCTTTCTGCAATTTTACGATCAATTTACTGTTACAAAACTAGAGTTTCTATCAATGGTATAAGAGCATTCGACGCCTGGAAACGTGGAGAAGCGCTCTGGTTTGCGCAAAGAACATCTACTGTCAGAACTGGCCGCATCTGGTTTGCGCTCGAACAGTGAGAAACGCACCAGCAAGGAAAAGTTATGCGCGAACATGGAGAAGCATGTGTCTACTCATGGCGGAAAGGAATTGCGCAAGGAGCATGGAAGATCCGATCAGGATGCTTCGCGCGGAAAAGGAGAGAAGCTGGCGGAAAAGGTTGAAAGTGATTGGGCTAAGAAGATACGCCATATGTTGGGCAAAATGCGTCACAGACTCAAGCGACATAGAGACAGAGCTAGGAGCCCTCCTAGACACCGTCGGCCGATTGAAAATAATCTGGTGTCTTCGCAATCACAAGTCTCTTCTCCGTCGCCAGCACTTCCGTCCAGTTGTCTGGCTTCTTCGCGGTCTTCATCTCAAAGCTTGAAATCGCGAACTTCTTCGCAATCGCAGTCTACCAGTTCGCAGGTCTCAGTTCGCAGGGCTCAAGGTGCGACTTATCTCAGTTCTCAGGTTTTGTCGCAAAAAACTTCTCACTGTGCGCAAGTTTCATCAGTCCCGCAGGAGTTTGTTAGTGGGCGGCATCCTTCCTCTACAGATAGGAGTGCGTACCGATCCAGAGAAAATGGAGAGAAGTTCACTGAGGGCAACGATGAAAGCCAGAAGAAATCGCCAGAAGAGTCTCTCACTTCACAAGCTTCACAGCTCGGTTTGAAAGTCATTAATCTGCGGCAACCTTCCTCTGACGCTAAGAGTGCTTCGCAATTTGGAGAAAATGCAGAGAAGTTCACTGAAGGCGACAATGAAAATGAGGAGAAATTGTCGGTGGTCGCTGGACCTGCAATTGGCCCAACTGCAGTTCCTGTTTTTCTTGGATGCCCAGCTTCTGATGCTTCTAAAGGTTCTATGGAATTCTCCAACTCGGTTTTTGGTAGAGTTCTCCCTGTCACTTCTCAAAATGTTAATAATTCTAATGCTTCACAAGGACCTGGTCAAAATCTTTACCACATTATTGAGAATAGGCTACAGCCAAACACAGAGGGTGCAGGAGTGCAAAATATAAGGCTGTTTGGAGGTTGTTTGAACTTGTCTCTGCCAGACTATTCGGAAGCCACAAGACGGAAAATCAGTATGATAGCGTTGCTAACTTACAACCATCATCTGGAGGTAAAAGGTGTCTGTTAGAGATATCCAGAAATTCAATAAAATCACATAAAGGGATCAAGAACAACTCTGCAGTCTTTATTGATTAAGAACAAGAAACTATGGCCGAAGCCCCCAATTGACCGAAGTCCCCAAAAGAAAGAGATAGAATCTCAGTCTTCCCAAGTCCCAAGACACAGTCTAAAAAACAGCCTGCTCCCAATTTCTAACTGTAGTCTATTTATAGTAAGGAAGGCTAGCCCCCGGTAGTTATTAGCTCATAACAAACTAGACTAATAACAGACCCTATTTCTTTCTAAAATACACTTTATTAGAGTATTTATCTTCTTTTCTTCAGTTTAGTAAAGTCTCTATCAAATCTCCCCTCCTGAAAATCCAACTTGCCCTCAAGTTGGAAGGGTGGAATTTGTTGTCTGATGCCCTCAGGTTTCAATTCCATCTTCTGCTTCCTCTTCATCCTGATGCTTCGTCCTTCCCAACATCTCATTAATTTCTGATAGATGAGCTTCATTACTTGATCTTTCCAATTCACATATGTTACTGCAACATATATTGTCTCCGGTGAACTTTCATTCTCTTCAGTCTTCAGGTCTTCAATGGCTACAATTATTTTCATGCTTCCCTGAAGTATAACACTTACAACGGTAGCAGAATTTGTGTTTTTGTCTTGAACATCAGGATTCTCATCCTCTTTAATCTGCTCATCAAGAATTTTTGAACTACAAATTGCTCCCACTCCAGTTGACTTTCCTCCCATTGAATTATGATTGACAACCATGATGCTTTTCAGTAAAACAATGCCACCCTCTGCCACACTTTGAGTACTCCCCATATCATTCCACACCATACAACTTCCATAGAAATTCCCCACCAAAAACTCTCTGCAACTGTACATTTCTCAAAGGGAAAGTCCATTTTCACCTTGTGCCTTGAAACAGATAGTGGAAGACCCCAGGTTATTTTTAAAATGGCACAATCTTTGCTACTATGAAGCAACACATAAACCAAGCAACACTTTGCGGCTGAGAATACAAAGTCAGCTCCTGCATCAACAAGTACATCATCCCTACTTCTTTGGTTCCATCCTTCCTTGTCAGATGAAGGCAGTTCATATTTTTTAAAAGCACTCCAATCTTTGCAGCTATTCTTCAGGCTGGAAGTGTTATTACAAATGAGGAAACGAGTAATTGCTCCATCTTCCAGTCCAAGATTAACTGAAGATTTCTTCTTGCTTTCCTCTTTGCCATAAGTGTGTGTATCCTCCGTGGGCTGTAGTTGCTGATTGATCAACTTCTGCTGCGACTCTGGGGACTCAAATAGAGATTGCGAACTAAGGTTTTCTACTTGAGTCGAAGCCAGAGGTCCGGAATGAGTATCTTGCGACTGAGACGGACCTTTGCTTTTCGAATTCACACAGCGACGTACCTTCCTCGATCGTCCTCGCCGGTGATGTTGTTTGCACTTCACACGTTTCTCCTTCTCTAGGCTTGAGTGTTTCTCTTTCTCCAGGTGTGAGCGATTTTCTTTCTCCGGTTTTAAGCTCTTCTCCTTCTCCACTTTTAAGCGCTCCATCGTTTCCGCGATTTTTCCCAAATTTCCGCTCAGATCCTTTCGCGAGTGCGAAACAGTTAGCGGCTCCTGCGATTTCTTCTGCGACTTAGTGAGCGATTGCGACGGACTCTGCTTGTCACATAGACGATGATGCCTGGTGTTGCTCGATCGATCTCCATGTTCCTTTCGAAGCTTCGGTTCTTGATGCGACGTATCAGAAGTGTGCGATTGATTCATCGATCGACATTGAAGTCTGTTTTGTATTTCCGCGATGCTAGCTTGCATAGCTACCATCGTCTTCGCCATATCAGCTTGCCTAGCTGCTGTCTCTCTCATATTTCTTTCTATATCCGTCACACGTCCTTCCATCTTCCCAAGATAGACGTGCTCTGATACCAATGTTAGAGATATCCAGAAATTCAATAAAATCACATAAAGGGATCAAGAACAACTCTGCAGTCTTTATTGATTAAGAACAAGAAACTATGGCCGAAGCCCCCAATTGACCGAAGTCCCCAAAAGAAAGAGATAGAATCTCAGTCTTCCCAAGTCCCAAGACACAGTCTAAAAAACAGCCTGCTCCCAATTTCTAACTGTAGTCTATTTATAGTAAGGAAGGCTAGCCCCCGGTAGTTATTAGCTCATAACAAACTAGACTAATAACAGACCCTATTTCTTTCTAAAATACACTTTATTAGAGTATTTATCTTCTTTTCTTCAGTTTAGTAAAGTCTCTATCAGTGTCCTGTTATTCTGTTGTGTTGTTCGTCTAATGTCTATGGTAGGAGGAAAATTGGATTTGAAGAAGATTTAAGGATACCTAAACTTGATTGGTCATCTGGGCTTACAAAATTGAAAGGCATTGATAAAGTAGAGTCAGTAGACCTTAAACTTCCTGGATATTTTGGAGATATTATTACAGTACCAATTGTTTGTGATATGAAACGAAATGAACTCTGTTCCTTTTTCATACTGACAAACCCCAGAGAGTTGCAATTTTATGAGAACATTTGCTGGTCTACCAAGAAACCTGAGCAAGAGAACAATCATTATGTTCTCCGGAGTGACAGCATACCTCTTTCTGAAGAGAATCTGGTGAAACCGGGTTGTGGACACCTTTGTTCAAAAGGGGTGATGAAGGGTCAAGTAATGAAGATCATGGTCCAGAAATTCGAGATGTATTGGGAAGGAAGAGGTGCCAGGATGAAGATGAAGTCGGAAGTTAAGGCTGCTTCCTATCACCCACCTTGAGGACAAGGTGGTTGTCTAAGGGGGGAGATATGATAGGAACCTATTAGTATAATAATAATAAAATAATGTTACATAGTTTGTATTATGTTAAAGGGGATCTAGGCCTGGTATTAATTTAGTTATGGGCCGGCCCGTAAACAAAGTATTATAAATAGTAGTTGGGAATACAATAAAGAGGAGGCAGATTTTGGATTTGGGAAGTTGGGATCTGGGAGAGTTGAGGCCTCTCGAAGCGCCTCGTCTGTATCTTTCCTTTCTGCTTAAGTTTTATATTTTATTACAAGATTTCATCTGAAATTTTGTTCTCACAGGTGTAGAGGAGCGCCATGGATTTATACACTCATATCTGAATTCATCAGGTTCATCTGGCTGACTCTCTCCTTTTATCTTTTCAATCTTATTTTTGCCTTTAAGTTTTCGTGGAAACTATGATCCTTGGAGAATATTGGTAAGCACTGTACTCATTTGTTTAAACTTAAGGATAGTTTTTCCAATGAGGATGTTACAGAATGAATGGTTTTTTTTTACAAAAACCATAAGTGACAGAATGGATGTCACAAAAACCATAGGTTTCGAGTAATGCTACATGCCCACAAATTCTGCACTTGTCTTTACACATGCTTACATTGCCTTATTTAATTAACTTTTGGTGAAATGCAAGGATTATTTTTTCGCCCATTCACAGTACTTTTTTCTAAAAAAAAGTTATGAAGAAAAAATGCCAACTCATCATTTTATAATCTTTTAGTCGACCCCAAATTCTTTTGGGATTAAGGCTTGGATGTTGTTGTTGTTGCACAATACTTTTTTCTCTCTCACTAGGTTTTAGAAATTGGGTGCTGAATTACACTAGCTCGTGTTGAAATTCCTCTTTTTCTTTATATGAAGAAAAAATGCCAACTCATCATTTTATAATCTTTTACATATACATACTTCCTCCATTTCACAATCTTTGACACAGTTTGACTTGTCAAGATTTAAGGAAAATTTTTTACTGAGGGGTAAATTTTACTGTAGAGTACACTGTTTGGCACTTTTTGAACACTGTTTGGCACTGTTTGACACTGTTTTGCACTGTTTTGGTAAAGATTTGTTTACCAAATAAGGAAATAAGGAAGTGTGTCATTGATTGTGAAACAGCCAAAAAAGGAAAGTGTGCCAAAGATTGTGAAACGGAGGGAGTACTTATTTTGACTCTCCATTAAACATGAATCCTTTTTATGATATAATATTATGGCCTGGATTTCATTCATTCATATGAATCATATAACAATTTTCCGTCATTTGCAATGGAGCCAAAGATTCATTATTTTTTGGCTTGAGATTATGATGGAATAAAGCAAAATGGCTCACTAAACTGTCTGCGTTTCTTTGTTATGGAGCAGCAGTCAGTCCATGCAATTTTGGATGCGATTTTCACTATGGGTCATCCGGAAACAGTCACTCTGTGCTTTAGTATAGGGGTAAGACTGCGTACATCCGACCCCCCCTAACCCCACCGTAGGTGGGAGCCTTTGCGGCATTGGGGTAAATGAAAATGAAAATGATGATATGAATCATATAACAACATAGAGAGCAGAAGCAATTCTGAAGTGGAAGTGGGTTGGTCGGTCTAACATCAATTCTGAAGTCTAATGCACACAAGGCCGGCCCAGGCCAAGTGCCACCTGTGCGATCGCACAGGGCCCGAAAATCCTGAAGGCCCAATTTTTTTGTAGTCCTCCCACTATTTAATTAAAAAGTTTTCAGCCAGGGGAATCGAACCCTTGCCAACCTTCTCACACACGCCGGCGGCGAACCAGCTCAACCAAATTGGTTGATGTTAACACTCTTTCAATTTTTGTTTTTGTACCAAAGAATTATTGATATAACTCATAAGATTTTAAGCCCAATACCATCAACTACAATTATTGAAATTAATATGTAATCAAAGTAATGACTATTTTTGTATTCCATGGCATTATTAAATTAATAACCAATTAGATATTTATGAAATATTCATTAGATTTATCAACTATATTTATAATTTTTTATATAAATATTACTTTGACTAATTATCCATTCAATTCCAAACACATCTTACATTTATGAATTCTATTTTAGATAGTGATACATTAATTTTTAATTTAATATTATAAGCATTATTAAATTTTAAATAAGAGTTATTTTAGAAAAATGCCACATTTGTTTTTTGCACAGGGCCCATATTTTCTCAGGACCGGCCCTGAGTTATGCACATTTGATCCATGTGGACATTCTTCACATGAGATACATTTAACCAAGTGGCAAAGCAAGTGGCAAAGCATGTTGATGGAAAAATTAAGACGCCCTCTGTCTCGAAATAGTCTTCTTTTTCATTTCTGTTCCGTTCCAAAAGAGTCTTCCTTTTTCATCTTTAGGAAACGTGTAATTGATATGATTCACTTATATCAATCCAAATATCAACCATCTGCTCTGTTTTCAACCACACTCCTGAATAAGTGATAAGTGTGCTAAGTCAAAAATCAAAGATTGTTTTGGGACAGATGGAGTAAATTTATGAGTAAAACACCACACCATTTTCCCACTCCTTTTCCATTTACAATCAAACACACAAGTCGATACTAAGATATGAAATAAATTTGACTTGTGTGTAGTGTCTTTTTTCCTTGTATGTTGTAAGTACCAAGGGTGACTTTTGTGATTCTGAATATATGTGTGTGTATATCATTGTTCTAAAACTCGCTAGGCGCTAGTCGGGCGGTTGAGGGGCGCCTAGCGCCTAGGTGGCCGACTAGGCCGGTTTTTTGGCCGACTAGGCCGATTTTTTGGCCGACTAGGCCGATTAGTGTTCCTCAATTAGGGCCGCCTAGGCCGATTAATCGGTCCGACTAGACCGATTTTTAGAACAGTGGTGTATATACTTCTCCAATCCCATATCAAGGTTCTCATAACAAATTAACAATAGGGCACAACTTTTTCAGTATTTCAACACGAATCATAGGAAACAGAAAGATTTAAACAGGTAAAAGATACTCCCTTCGTCTCATTAGACTATGCCAACTTTCCTTTTTTCTTTGTCCCAAAAAACTTTGCCTCTTTCCTTCTAAAGCAATGAATTGTGCATCTGTTCATTTCTCTCTCCTTTGCACAAACTTGAACCACACAGTTTTTACTATTCTAATTTTACACCCAACATTAACTTGGCAAAGTTTAGTGGGATGGAGTTAGTATAAGATAAGATAAAAAAGGATAAGACAAGGTAAAATTTAAGATTAAAAAGGTAAATCAACAACAACATCCAAGTCTCAGTCCTAAAAGAGTTCGAGAATCAGCTAACATGAATTGACACATGAAATCAGAGTTAACAAGATAAGAAAGATAAAAAAGATAAGGTAAGGTAAAAATGATAAAGAAGATAAGATAAAGTTAAATATAACTATATAAGATAAAGATAAAAAAGATTAAGATTAAAGTAAATAGTTTGGTGGGGGGATATATTGGATGAAGTAATTTAGAAGTATAGTGTTACTACGACTTCTATTAAAAAAGTTATGATAAGGTTATCATTTAACACTTAAATTTTTATGTAAAAGTAAACAAAATCTTGATATGGAACATTCAAAAAAGATAAATCGGAACTTTAAATTTGTGTGTGTGCATGTATGTATGTACATGTGTATGTATGTATTGTGTATATATACACATATGCAAAGATGGATGATTTTATTATTTATGGGCACAAATAAGTTCATTTTAGTATATCTATATCACTATAGTGTATATTTATGTGTGTGCATGTGATGAATGAGGGAGTGTTTGCAAAAACTTAAAAAATGTTTTCCACCTTTTGGCTTTACAATGCTAAAATGAGTTGTTTCAAGTGATTGCTTCTGCTTAAATTAAACACCTAAAAGCTAACAAATGAAAGCAAGTGGAGGGTTGTTTTTAGCTTCTTTTCACTTTTTCTAATATACACGAAACACTTTATTACCAAACACAACCAACTTTTATGTTTTCAAAAACACTTTTTTTCCAAACACTGCCAACTTTTAGTATTAGACATTTTCTCTAGAATCACTTTAAAAACACTTTTTAAAGTAGAAGCATTCACAAACACTCCTTGAGTGTGTGTATTGGTTGCTTGTGATTCTGACTCCGTAAAGTAATACTACCTCCGTCCCAATGGACTTTGGCAAGTGCAAACTAGGTGAGAAATAAGAAAAGTAAAAACTGTGTGGTTGAAATTTGTGCAGAGGAGAGAATAGTGTGCAGAACCACAAATTAGTTGCTTTAATTGGAAAGTGGCAAAGTTTTTTGGGACAACCAAAAAAGGAAAGTTGACAAAGTCCAATGGAACGAAGGAAGTATTTCTTTCATTAACTAAGTGATATCTAATACCGGATGTGTATCTTGAAGATTTGGGCCTGGGTCCACCCATATACTCCATCACTAACTTTAGTAGTTTTGAATGTGTGGCACTTGTGTGCATATGTATATGCATGTATATGTATATGTGTACGTGCACTCAGTGGGGTAGACAGAGTATAAATTGGACTTACCAAGTACAAAGAATCATTTTGGATAAATTTTTACGCGAAATTTCGGGGTGGGTCGGGCTTAGCATAACCACCCACCTCCACCTTGTGTGCAGATATATGTATCGCGTATATGTATACATATACGTATATGCCAATACAGATATGTGTAGGCATATGTATGTGTATGTAAATCAGTATATGCATATGAATATGCATATACATATGCATATATTATACCTTATATAGTTAGCTTAGTGAACTGAAAAATGCAGGCTGCTACCAAGGAAGCATCGACTCTGATGTGAAACAGCTAGTTGATGATGCAGAAAGATACACTCTTCCTAATCATTTGTTCTGGGGGCTATGGGGAATTATCTCGGTCTGCCTGTGTTTTCCATAATTTCATCTCTCATTTTATTATACTCAAATTTAAATTTTAAAACATGTGGGGCTATCAACTGCCCTTGATGAGCTTTTTTTTGGTTCGCAGGGGTATGTGAACAATATTGACTTTGATTACAAGGAGTATGCTAGGCAAAGGTTTCATCAATATTGGCTAAGGAAACCTGATTTGATCTTCACTTAAAAAAGACTGTAGTCTGTACATTGCTTAGTACAAGGTAGGGTCATATGCTATGTTGTGATTGTCTTTCTTTGTTTGTGTCATTATTATACGTAGTAGCAGATATTTTTTATTTTTACAGGGCTTTCTTTTAAAACTATACTCTCATACGATAAGGCTGGTTTGGTTTATTTGATAACCTCGACCATATATTGTGATTTGTGATACGACTTTATTTGCTTAGTTCCACTCGGAAATTGTATATTATGTTTTGAATTTGCCTATATTATGCGCTGACGGCTGAGGTTAGTTTTGTAGTTACATATCCCCCACTTTTTTGGGTATACTATTGTGATAAAAGTAATCAAAGCAATTAGGTATGATATGCCTTGCAATTAGGATGAGATTTAGAACCTCTTCGGCAACATCGTGATTTGATCGAGTATGTTGAAATTGATAAATGTTGGTTAAAGCTGTTGATGGAGTATATGGCCCGGGAACTCCCGGCCCACAGACTCCTACTACTCTAGCGAAGGTCCAACAGGCCCAAATCACAACGCCCAGAGTACCAAGCAGTCCGCACAACGCGTCAGGGGTGCCTTCGGCCCCCTGGCCGAAGGCTCCAAATTCTCACAGAACGGGTTTCTCAAGCAAATTAAGAAACTGGGAGAAAACGGCGAAAACAGTAGCCCTCGGCACTGTGAGCCCTCGGCACCAGGGTGCCATCGGGTGGAAGACCCCTCGGCTACTGCTCTATAGCCGAAGGCATCTCACTCGACAAGATATCCGCCTCACATGCGTACAGATCACCGTACCCCGCACAGACGTCCCATCCAACAACCACATTAAATGCGGCCACATGCGGCTGCCAGCGCCAACCAGTTGAGATGACCCCTCGGCCAATAAGCGCTTGACACGTGTCCCTGCCTGGCATTTATTGCTACTATAAATAGCACCCCATTTCCTCATTTGTAACCACGCTGAAAACGGCACTCATACTGAATACACTCTCTCTCTCTACTTTTATTTACTTGGTCTGACTTCTCTCTAAGTTATTCCCCGTAATAACCCTTTGGATATATACCCCCGGGTAGACTATCCATCATTTGGTGCTCTCGTTGAGAGGTTGAACAATCGAGTAAGAAACCCTCCCCCTCGACCAAACACAAAACACTAGCCCTCTATCAAAATGGTGAGGACAACACGTGCCAACTCAAAGAACATAGAAGATAAGAACCCGGCCCTCGGCGACGTCAACACCCCCGAAGCCTCTCACAGGGCTCCCGAGGGCGGTGTCATTGCTGGGCTGGGACAGGCGGCTGTCGACCTACGCCTCCAGATCCAACAAAATGCTCCGATGCCCGCCTCGGCATCGAGGCCAAGAAGAAAAACCGGAGCGATGACCAAGTCAGCCCTCCGGTTCTCACCATCGACGTGCAATCGGCGCTCTCCGCCTTCATCCAGACGCTCACCCAGAACCCGGGTGCCTTCGGCGCCCTGGCTCCAGCTCACCCTCAGATCGGGGAAAATATCATACTTCCCCCTCTGCCACACCCCTTCGGAAATCCCACCCCTCGGGTGAGAAACGACGAAGGGGTGGTGGCCCAAGATACGTCATCCCAGGAAGTTCAGTCCCGGGACCGCCATAATGACAACAGGGAAAGGCCCCGTACTTCCGCCCTCAACCGGCTCGGAGGAGGGCCAGACCGCCGAGGGGTCCAAGACCGCCTCGGGGGGAAAGCACTCCAAAGGCCCCAGGAAAGCGGGGGATCCGTTTCGAGGGCAGACGAGGAGCGTCCCCCTCGGGACAAAGGCAAGGCACCCCTTCATGCCGATGATGCTCGACACCAAATCAACCAGGCCCACTCGGCCCGGGTTCGTTCGCAGGGGGCGGAGACCCTCCCGAAGGACCCCCGGGACGAGATTATTGCGGCCCTCCAACGCCGGCTTGACGAGATGGAGTCCAACAAAGCTCACGCCACCACCTCCGCCCCTCATTCAGATCTCAAATACGAGGCCATGATGGCCAAGATGGAGGAGTTACAGAAGAAGGTGGCCGAGGGCTCCGGGGAACCCGTCATCCAGCTCCGGACTCGGACGCCATTTACTCCAAAGGTATTGGCGGCCCGGATCCCGGAAAAATACCGAGGGCAACATATACAGCCCTACAACGGAAAAACGGACCCCAGGAACATTACAGCAAGTACCAGAACAGCATGATGATGGTGGGGGCGTCGGACGAATATTTGTGTCGTTGGTTCCTCTCCACCTTAGAGGGGCCGGCGTACGAATGGTTCAACAGGCTGCCCGAGGGCTGTATTGATTCGTGGCAAGAACTCGCCCAGCGGTTCTTGACGCAATTTGCCGGGAGGCGTCGCACAAGGAAACACTTCTCCCACCTCCTAACAATACGCCAGAGGAAGGATGAGACCCTTCGGGATTTCCTGGAGCGCTGGAGGACGGAGGCCGACAAGGTCGACGGTGCTGATGACGGGACCCTCCTGGCCCTCCTACAAACCGTCCTCCGCACCGGCAACTTTTCGAGGAGCCTCATCATTGAACCCCCCCGCGACTACATAAGGGCTTTGCAGCGGGGGGACCGATATGCTGAGGCCGAGGAGGTGGAGAAGTATCACCAGCATCCGGACCAGCAGCCCCCGAGGGCTGACAACAAGCATAACCGAGGGCCGGGGGCTCCTCCAAATCGCCCCAAGGCTTCGGGACCCTCTGATGACCGCCCTCGGCAAGGCCAAGCCAAGCCCGGGGGAGGTTATAAGAGCAACCCTAAGACTTGGGCCCAGCGCATTCTCCTGGACCGCCCTCGGACACCATTGACGCACCCCGTCAGCATCATCCTCGATTTTGCCGAGGAGAGGGGCCTCGTTGAGCGCGACTCTCGTGCACCCCCGGAGGTACACGCTATCAACCCTCAGTTCCCCTACTGTCGCTTCCATCGGCACCAGGGGCACAGGACCGATGACTGCCATCAGCTGAAGACGGCCATCGAGAGATTAATACAGGCGGGGCACCTGTCCCAGTTTGTCCAGGGCCCTCGGCAGGAGGGACCTTCTCATCAGGGACCTCCCCGAGGGCACCATACGAAGGTAAATGCCTGGGTAAATCCGAACACCATCCCCCTCGGCAAGAAGAGGGAGATCGGAAACTTGGAAGAAGAGGAGGAGGAGTACCCCCACTACCAGGAGAAGAAACGCCACATCCTCATGATCACCGGTGGCAATACGGGGGGCGATTCCACCAGCCAACGAAAGAAGTGGGCTCAATCGCTTTACGTGGGGGAAGTCACTCATATGCCCCCGGTAAAGCGACTGAGGGAGGAACCCATCACCTTTACCAACGCAGATCTCCCTCCTACTTCTTCTCCTCACAGGGATGCCTTGGTGATTCGGACGGAGATAAACGACACCATCATTCATCGAACTTACGTTGACACGGGCAGCTCCGTCAATGTAATGTACCTCAGCACCTTCAGAGAGCTGCATCTGGAAAGGGGGTCCCTTCGGCCCATTAAGACCCCTCTTGCCGGCTTCACCGGCGACACTATTGATTCCGAGGGGGTAATAACCCTCCCGGTGATCTTCGGCGACGGGCTCCATAGACCCAGCTCGAGGTGGAGTTCGTCGTCGTCAACATTGACTGCGCCCACAACATCATCCTCGGCCAGCCAGCCCTCGAGGACCTCGAAGCCATCATCTCCATGAGGCATCTCTGCCTCAAGTTTCCCGCCGAGGGGGGAATTGGCTACTCCCGGGGGAACCAGAAAATTGCCCGTGCCTGCTATCTTCAGGTCACTAAGAAGGTAAGCAAGACGGAATTCCGTGTTGACACCATCACTGGAACCGTCGACCAAGAGGAAAGAAGGCCGAGGGCTGAACCGGCCGAGGACGTAGAAGACTTTGCGCTCGATCCGGCCCAGCCGGAGAGAGTCGTGAAAATTGGAGCCCAGCTCCCTGAAGATTTGAAGACCGGTATTGTAATACCCGAGATTAATTTAAGAGGATTAATAGTACTACTCATACCAACAGAGGTGCATCTCCTTTTAAGGGAGCTCATCACCCAAGAACTCCAAAGTTAAGCGTGCTTGCACGGGAGTAGTCTTGGGATGGGTGACCCCCTGGGAAGTTTCTCAGGGCGCGCATGAGTGAGGACAAAGTGCGCGGTAAAGGCTCGTGGTGGTTTGTGGGGACAGTACTAGAGGTCTAGAGTAACTACATCGGGTCCGTGTGGGGCCCCGGGGTGTTACAGGTGGTATCAGAGCAACCCTGCGACAGTGTGCTGACCCGTTAGATATTGGGCGGGCACTTAGCGGGGCAAGATTCTGGGGTTTTATTGAGATTGGTTTAAGGGCGCAACGAGGACGTTGCGATCATAAGTGGGGGTGATTGTAATACCCGAGATTAATTTAAGAGGATTAATAGTACTACTCATACCAACAGAGGTGCATCTCCTTTTAAGGGAGCTCATCACCCAAGAACTCCAAAGTTAAGCGTGCTTGCACGGGAGTAGTCTTGGGATGGGTGACCCCCTGGGAAGTTTCTCAGGGCGCGCATGAGTGAGGACAAAGTGCGCGGTAAAGGCTCGTGGTGGTTTGTGGGGACAGTACTAGAGGTCTAGAGTAACTACCTCGGGTCCGTGTGGGGCCCCGGGGTGTTACAGGTATCACCGACGCCCTCCGCGCCTACTTCACTGTCTTTGCATGGGGGCCGGAGGACATGCCGGGAATCAGCCGAAGGGTCATCACCCACCGCCTCTCGGTGGACCCTTCGGCAAAGGCAGTGCAACAACGAAGAAGACCCCTCTCCGCCGAGAGAAGGGAATTTGTGAAGAAGGAGGTCGCCATGCTCCTCTCCATTAAGCACATCAAGGAGGTGAAATATCCCTCATGGCTGGCGAATGTAGTCCTCGCACAGAAGCCCCCTACCTTCCGCATGTGCGTGGACTACACCGATCTCAACAAAGCATGCCCTATGGATCCATTCCCTCTACCAAACATTGATCAATTGGTGGATGAGACCACAGGGTGTGAGATCATGTCCTTCCTCGATGCCTTCCGAGGGTACCATCAAATCTTCATGCACGAGGAGGACGCCGAAAAAACTGCCTTCATGACTCCCGAGGGCATCTTCTGCTACCTAGTGATGGCCTTCGGCCTAAAGAACTCGGGGGCCACTTACACCCGGATGGTGGCCCGGGTCTTTCAAGCCGTCCTAGGGCGCACCATGGAGGCCTATGTTGACGACATGATCGTCAAGAGCAAACAATCTTCCAGCCATGC